AGAAAAGGCCTGGTCTTCCTTGAAATTCACATCTGCCCTCTGGCCGAGTGTTTAACGTGTCAAGCTCCCTTACTGCACTGTCGCGGTTCGACTCCCGCTGAGGGTGTTGATAAGACCAATGCGAGGTCGAAACTGCAGTCCACTGGTGCCGGGATGAGAACACAATGAAAACGTCAGCTCTACTCATATCATTGTGGGAACATTCTACCACCAGTCCTTCATCACCTTAAACGAAATAGGGTGAATGCATCTCATATCAGTGATACTTTGCCATTTACTAGCGACAAACTGACAAGCATCAGTAATGCACAACCACCTCCGCAACAGATCAGCTGGGCAAAAAGAGGAGAACAAGAAGTTGGTCAGCCTAGATCATCAGAAGTGATCTAGGAGCTGATGGAGGCATCTTACACACGATGCATATACTACAAGATAGCATTGTCTGGAGGATATTAAAAGCGAAACCGCAAGTAGATCGGCCATTGCCTGGCTCGGTCATTTGGTTCGGGCCGGTCTCTTGAGGGTTTTAGCCAGACCCACCAGTCACGAGGGTCTGTGGGAAAAAAGTGCCTATAACTCAGGCTATGATAGTACGTTTTGCATTTGCCCTTCAGATTCCTGGAAGAATCCCTTCTTCCCTGCAAGATCTAAACTGGGAGACTTTCACGTCAGCATGCAGGAGAAGATTACAGTCACGATGATGCGAGGTATATTCCAACTGAAGTACTACAAATGCGAGAACCTCGGCTTGCAAGCAGTTGTACTGCCATTATGCGTGAGTGGGCCGGCCGTAACCGTGGATTCTGGTGGCAGGCGATAGCTGCTTCTGTCTGTTTTTTTACCATTTTTATTTGTCAATTCCATCTATTTATGGTTTAAGAACGAGCTACCGGTTACTGGTGTAATAGGGAACTGGAAATCTTGAAACAGAAATATCATCGTGCTGAGAGATCAGCCAATGGGATGAGATAAAAGAGGTCTAAAGGTGCACTTTAAACGTCTTGACAACAGGGCACGTGAGTCAACTTGACCAAGAATAGTTTCAACGAATCCTTCATTCCACCAGAAAAGTGATTTGGGAAAGGCCTGGCCACCTTTGAAATTATCATTTTCTCTGTGACCCAAGGGCACTCGTGGCAGTCTGGCGCAGTGTTTAATGTGTCCAGACTATACACTGCAATAGCTCAACACCGGTCCGAGTCCCGCTGATGGTGATCTGATGAAACCAGTTTGGGCGAAGTCTAAACTGTATTACAGTTGACTCTGGATAAGAATACCTTTTAGGAAGCAAGGCAGTGTGAAATTCGATGGAAACCTGATTATGGAAAAATACAAGTACCAGCTTTCCTTAGATGAGTTCTTTTGGTAATCTCGAAAGCATACTTATAAACGGAAAATGAGTAATTCAGTCGATTCTAATAGCAAATATAGCTTTGCCTCATCAACACCCCCACCACAAAAGGTGATTTAGGAAACGCCTAGACCTCTTTGAAATTCGCTATGACCCAAGGGCATTCGTGGCAGTGATGCGTAGTTATTAACATGTCGAAACTATACTCTGAACTTCCACATTTCTGGTTCGAATCCCACTGTGGGGATTGTTGGGACCTAACCAAGGTCAAA